GGTTTTTTGGTATTTTTAACTTAGTAGTTGAGAAACAATCTTATCAGGTAAGAATTTGACGATACGTTTATTCCCGTTAGTTCTTACTTTTAATGTAAAAAAAATGGCAACAAAAATTTTACAAAATCTACCATAGAAATTTCGTGACGTAGTCAATTTAACATCGACACTGTAGTTAGAGAAGGGATGCGACTGAGGCACTTGCCCTCCTCCCCCCCCCCTTCCCCAGAGTAATATGGACACATGACAGGATCAAAGGCGGTCACTCTCCCATAACACAACCCACACGTGGCTTTGCTCCCCCCCCCAGGCAACAAGAAATGAGATTTGATATGAATGCCAGAAATGAGTTAGCTACCTTCGTCGCTAATGGACCAGAGCTGAACTAACACGTGTTTACGCTTACCAGACGCTACCCGAATAGTTAGTTACCTGACACCACATGTTGACAATAACTACTGCACGAAGGGTCGTTGTCGCAACAGGTACTACAGATATGTACCCGAGGTAGTTTTAGGTTGTTTAGTATTATGTTTATATTTTTATAGGAGGTATGTTTAGGGTTAGGGTTAGAGTTAGGGTTAGGGTTAGGGTACACTTCTGTGGTACAAGTCTGGTACACTTTGTGTATACATATATGTACCTCGGGTACATATCTGTAGTACCTGTTACGACAACGACCCCTTGAGCATAACTAACCTTACTCGTGTGTTTCCCCTGCGTAAAAGGAAGCAGTGCCACATACCCCCGGCAATATATTCTCTAGCAATAACTTAGGTATGTTGACATTAACTATTAGTTTTTTTCCCTGCTTAGGAGGGTGCGTTGCCATGTGGCAACTGCCCTGGCAAGACTATCTGGCAAGAACTTACGCATGTTGACATTAACTAACCTTACTCGTACGTTTTGCCCGCATAGGAGAGAGCTTTGCCGCATGGCAACCTCCCTGGCAAGACTATAGAAATACAATCTGGCAAGAACTTAGACATGTTGACATTAACTAACTTTACTCGTGTGTTTCCCCTGCGTAGGACTGAGCGTTTCCGCATGGCAATCTTTTTGGGAAGACTATTTGGCAAGGACGTACACATGTTGACATTAACTAACCTTACTCGTGTGTTTCCATGCGCAAGAGGGAGTGTTGCCGTAGGGCAACCTCCCTGGCAAGACTCTCTGGCAATACTATCTGGCAAGAACTTACATATGTTGATATGAACTAACCTTATTTTGTTTTTTTGTTTTTTTGTTTTTTTCTGCGTAGGAGGGTGCGGTGCGTTGCCGCATGGCCACATCCCTGGCAATATTCTCTAACTTATATATAACTTATAATTATAATAGCGGACTTTCAGTGCAGGGGCATTGAAAAAATATTCTCAGACCCCCCTGAACAGCCACATATGATCCGCATCAGAAAGAAAAGAGAAGCCTACTGGATCCACAATCTAAACACCATCCAACCATACGGACTCAACCTACGGGTAGAAATTCCGGGATGGATAGAAGACAATCACATTACTCCTGTTAGCATGTTATGAACGTGAGGCTATCCCTAACCAGACGACCCCAGGGTAGCGAGCAGTTAGATGCACCTACTAACACATTTACCGTATATGATCGCGTAATAACCACAAATTTGGCCTCAGATTTCAACCCTGTATTTGCTCTGCGGTTTATAAGTGCGCCATACCGTGAGGGGAAATATACTAGGCGCAATACTTGGTTACCCGATTCAAATTGAGGTGCGGCTTATAGGCGCCCGCGGTTATTACGCGATCATATACGGTATAACTTATGTTGATATTAACTATACTAAGCGTGCTCGTGTGTGGTTTCCCCTGTTCAGGAGGGCCCGTCGCCGCGTGACCCCGGCAAGAGAAGCAAGACGACAGACCCAACTCTCGTGAAGTCGAGCAGGAGGGCGGGCACCGCGAAAACAAAGTCCAAGCCTCAGGAAGAAATCGTGCCGGCCGATGAAAGCGAGGAGGAGGAGGAGGAGGAGGAGGACGAGGATGAGGAGGAGGGGAAGGCGCCGAAGAAGAAGGCGAAGGAGGGATCGCGAGACGACGACAGCGAAGTCACGGAGGGAGAGGACGAGAACGGGGAGGAGGAGGAGGAGGAGGAGGAGGAGGAGGTACCAAAGAAGAAGGGGAAGAACAAGGAGGAAGAGAAGAGGAAGAAGCGATCGATACTGAAGAGGACTAAGAGCAGCAAGGACTCTGACGCTGGGGTAAGGGTGCGAGAAAGCGCGCATTTTAATTAAGCGGAGGACTAACGATAATTAACGATCGCTCGACGCTTTGCCGACGTCGTCTTCGTCGTTTTAATTGTAAACACGAATAATTAACAAAGAGCTAATATTATGTTTCAGCATGGCTTCCGACATTTTCTCCGTTTTCATCGTTTTCTGTTTATTTTGTCCGTTTTTGTCGTTCAATAGAGATTTTATTCCTGCCTCGTGTCGATTTTTGCCATCGGATATTCGCAGGAGATTGTCGGATCGATATTCGCTTGTTTTCGACACGTGCCGAGCCACGAACGTTTCATATAACTGATGTTTACGTTCGGGTTTCGACTTTTCAGGAGGGCATTTATACCTTTTTCATGTTTTTTTTTTATTTTCACGTATTTTTATGTCAGTTTTTCCGCGTGTTCATCGCGCACTCGAAATCTTTCTCCTTCCCTTGCGTAGGCAGCGGAAGATGAAGAGGACAAGGACGAGGCAGCGGTCGTCAACGACAAGACGCCGCCCCCGAGTCCGCAGGTCAAAGGTCACACCAAGGAGGCGGATGCGACGAAAGGTGCGGGGTCGTTCCCATATCATCGTTATTTCAGTTTATATCAGTTCATCGTTCGTCTTAATATGTATCCGTAGCAGCAAGAACCGCAGCCACGGTGACGATGACGATGATTGCATCCGTGATGGCAGTCACGATGGTGACGGTGGTTCCACCTAGTGATGGGGGTGACATTAGTGACAAGAAAAGCCAAAGACAATTATGACAGAGCTGTGACAATGACAGAGACTGTGACAACGACAGAGACCAAGAGAATGACAGAGACCAAGACAATGAGAGAGACCAAGAGAACGACACAGACCAAGAAAATGACACCGACAGTGACAATTACAGAGATGGTGACAATTACAGAGAGCAAGACAATGACAGGGACGGTGACGATGACTGCGGCACCGGCGGTGACACTGGTGACGATTACAATGACGATAGTAGCAACAGCTCGCTCCTCGTCTCTTTCAGCCGAAAAGAAGTCTGGTTTCCTCGGTTTCTTCTCGCTGAAGAGGAAGAAGGACGCTCCCTCGCCCTCTCCCAAAAACGTCGAGGGGAGAGAGAGGAAGGGGACGGTGTTGGAGGAGGATGAGGAGGAGGAAAAGGAACCCACGGATCAGACGAACGTGGATGCAGAAAGTAAGCTAATTATATTGACAACGGGGGTGTTTAACCTTTGACCTCTGTCTGTCGTCATCCCACGCCCTCTATCCACGTCTGCATTTCCTCGTAGATATGTCAACGTCCACCATTCTCCCCTCCCCCTCCACCTCCGCCTCCCTCCTCTGCCTCCCCCTTCCCCCTCTGCCTCCGCCTCCGCCCTCCACCTCCGCCTCCCTCCTCTGCCTCTGCCTCTGCCTCCCCCCTCCGCCTCCCCCTCCGCCTCTGCCTCCGCTCTCTGCCTCCCCTCTCCGCCTCCCCCTCCGCCTCCGCCTCCGCCCACCCGCGCTATCTCTGTCAACATCTATGTCGTATCGTCTGTTACACAATGTTGACACAATGTGATGATGTGTGTGCGTGCGTGTGCGCGTGCGTGTGCGCGTGCGTGTGCGCGTGTGTGTGTGTGCATTGTTTGTTTTACTCGGCTCGTTCAAACAGTGATCAGGCTGGATGTGTCACCGTCTCTCTGTGGAACTAGAAAGAGCGAATTTCGGTAAATGTTACCCATTTAAACTCTGCTTGCTAGAAGTAGAAAGAAAGAATTTCGCAATTTTGCTAAATGTTACCAATTTGAACTCTGCTGCTACTGCTGCTGCTGCTGCTACTGCTGCTGCTGCTGCTACTCTGCTGCTGCTACTGCTGCTACTGCTGCTGCTACTGCTGCTGTGCTGCTACTGCTGCTGCTCTGCTGCTGCTGCTGCTGCTGCTGCTGCTGCTATGCTGCTCGCTGCTACTGCTGCTGCTGCT